AAGACCTCCTTTGGTATTTCCCCAATCCATAATGTTCCTGCATCTGATTCTTTCCCCCACTTACATTGGTATATGGGCGTTTCCTCAAACGTTTTGATGACACGTTGATTGGGCTTCAGCTCAGTTCCAAAATGAGGAGTCAGTTTTAAGTTACAGAAGTTTAGTATCTCTGTAGGCAAGATGAGACGTGTTATCTACATTTCAGGCTTCAAATCCTACTTCAGGTTTCACATTGAATATAATAAATGTCACAACCCAGTGATTTTTTGGTGCCTCGGCACTATGGAATTTCCTGGCCACATGAGAGCTCCTTTGCACAGCAGAGTGTTCTGCTGCAATTGAGAGCCTGCGTGCAGGAGAGTTCCCGCCAATTTGCAGTTTCCTTTGCAGGATGCATTTCTTCTTTGCAGCACGGAGATGCACGGTGCAAAGAGTTCCCGCTATTCGGATGCAAATTTGTGCCCCGCTATTGGCCAGTGCTAAATTATTCACACGTGGCGGCTAGTAATTGGCTCGCTGGCCGTTTAAAATTCCGCACGACTTCCAGCCAAGTCGAAGAGCTTTGAGCACGCTGCAGAGTGCCTCTGAAGTTATCTGACTTGCGGCTGCTGATCGATAGACTGATCACCTATCGATCTTTCTTCCCGTCACCGAGCGCAACCCCGATGTACCCCTTTCCCCGCCGGCTTCGAATTGTGGACGGAATAACTGGCTTGGGCCCCGCCCGCTGGGGCAACTCCTGGGGGTGTTTCGGTGCCCGGACCACCTGCGTCGTGATTGCAAGCGGCGTGAGTAAAGTTTTTACAACCAATAAGTTGTGTCTGCCTCTCCATTCACCAGCCCACCCTGACGTATGAGCGTAACTCGAGTCGGCCCTGGCCGTCCGAGACAATACATTCAAAAGAAGTGTCAAGAATATTGATTCACCCGTGAACCAAATCATTCATGGATCTTGCTGACCCATTCTTCAAAGGGACTAATACATTCCTCACATGAAGCTTGCTAGTCAGGCCATCGGCCACTTTGAAAGCAGAGATTGGGTCCTGGGATGGGAGTTAAAGGTGAGAGGAGAGCAGAGGAGCTTCTGGGAATCTGACACTCCAACTCTGGTCTTTTCTTTGTTGTCGTTCTTCCCCCTCTCAGTCAAGCTGAGAGATAAAGGGGGTAAAATCATTATTTCTATTAACTGAAAAAGTAAGTACTTTGACTGACTCTATTTGTTTTGGTGTATGGAGGACTGTAACAGTAACATTCAGCATTCCCATTGTCCATGATTTTATATGCCAGATGTGATATTTTGGGTTTGGGGTTTTTTTTGTGATTCAGTCCTTTTTTTCTCAGTACAGGATTGATTTAAATGAAAACTTAGGGGTTCTGCTATGAAAATTAGCCAATAATGTAGCTATCCAATAAATTATTTTGAGATTCTGCTTCAAGTATTCATCTGTAGCCTTCATTTAAAAGGAGCAAATTTGACTGCATAGTGGCTGCAGTGCAGTACAGGCACCCTTGAGGATTGGTGGCCATGTAAGTGTGCCAGCACAGGGCTTAGCGGGGGCTAATTTTTTTCTACACTGAGCTCCACTGACTAATTAAGGTAGATGAGCTTAGTATAAAGATTGCTTGGGTGCCTCTATAGACCTCTGCCATCATTACTGTGACCAGGGGGTAAAACTGGGGGTAAATTAGGAAGGAAAAATGATATTGCTAATTTATTAGCTCATATTCAGTAGCACAAATTTCTGTTTTCTTTCTCCAGGAAGAAAAACATCTGCCTCCTGTTACCAATTTTACCAATTTTATATGGAATATTGACAGTTAAAGGTCCTAACCTTGTCAGATTGATACAAGCATTTGTAAGATCATATTTTTTAATCTGGGTAATGGATGACACATTGTGATACCTGTGAATAATTATCTCCTCTTAAGTATCAGTGAGTTGAAAATGAAGAAGGCTGGCTGATATTACAATCCCCATCCAGCTTGCAAGAATGAAATGTCCAGCAAAGACAACTGACTCTAATAGGTTTGAGGCTGACTAGATTTAATTTTTAATACTCCCTTGTCTACAAGGCAGCTGGCCTAAGCACTGAAGTTAATTTAATGGGTCATTTACATAAGAACTTTTAGATTCATCGTTTCTCCTAAAAGTCTTTCCTAATCTCTCATTCTTGGTTTCTCTCCCTTCCTGTTTCCATCTTTGTCTTCTTGACATGAGGAAGGAGTCAGTGGATTTGGGAATTCACTTGTACAGCAAGTAGTAAAAATCTAAATTCATTAATGTTCCATGGTGATTTGCCAAATTCTTGTAAAATCTGCCCAGCTGTAATGTTTATAGGCCATAACTAAGCTGACAGTTGAAGACATAAAATGTCATTCAGATGGTCTGCTCATATTACAGGGATTCTGTAGATTACAGTATATAATCTATTACATTATTGTTCAGGACAGATGGCAACATCAACCATTACCTCTTGCTGTAAAGCAGTCCTAGCAGGCCACCATACGCACTTGACATGTTCAGAGACCCAGACTCATTTGTCAGTGCATCACATCTGGAAAATATCTCCAGCGGAAGTATGTTCTCCAGAATTAGGTAATGTGGGAGGCGAACCTGTGTTTCTACAAGGTTTAAAAGGGAAACCAAAGAATTTTATGAGAGGGCAAAAGAGATGAACAATCGACTTTTGTGTCTGTAGTGATGTAATGTTACGTAAGACATAGTGACAGACAGCTCTGTCACAACCTCCCCTTCCTCACCCTTCCCTCCCTCCACTTGACAAAGTAGTGTTCGGGACCATAAAAGGACATTCAGCCTTAACAATGGAAATCTGTGTAGATGGTCTTCACTGATAGTTTGGCTTTTTTGAGTTAGTTATTTGTGTAAGGACAGTTGTATTGATAATGTACTTTTAGTATGTTTTTACCCTTTTCAACCATTGAAGAATAGTTGAAAGAATAGTAGTTGGAATATCCTCATGAAAACTGCAGGGACTTGCTCATAGAGAATATAACATGGTGTGGGTTTACTAATAGCCCACAGCATCTTATAAAAAAAAAAAGGGCACAGAAAGGAATAAAATATGAATCTCTTTAGAGGTGGCTTCATTACAAGAAAGAATAAATGGTAATGAGATTGGCCTGAATATTTGCCAATGTAGGACTGAAAGCAGATGACAGACTTCGAACTGAACTGGCTATGTAAAGCAGAGAGCTGGCAGGATTTCTTCCTTCAAATACTATAATTCTTTTTATAAAATGTAATCTAACAAATTCTAATTGCTTTAAGGCTTTGGTTATTAAGTGAAGTGTTATAGTCAGTTTAAGAGCATGTAAATACTAAAACAGTTGTTTCTTTGTCCAGAAAAAACAGTGAAATCCTGGCCCTGCAGTAGCAGGAATATAGCATTTTTATTTAAAGATCTTAAGGAGCTTACTGCACTGCAGTGGACTAACCAAATATTATTCAATTGATTTTACTCGTAGCCAAAGTGAGGCACACTGAGACGGATGGCACTCATGGAAGGATGGGAATGGAATCTAATGGGCCTTTCATGTACTTGTCTGTGCTAAACACTAAATAATGCATCCACCTAGAATAACTCCTGCTGTTCAAACAGGGAGTATGATATCTATGCAGAACTCTGTGAGGTGCATATTATGGAGAGAGGCTATTCTCATAGGCACCTATACTGTTTCATCATGAGGGAAGGTCCTGCTTAGCTTAATGCTCTTTTCTAGTGGTTTGGATACCCACTTAGGGACTCCTAAGCTAGTCCCTTCTCTTAGGACTATTTTACATGTAAACACCATATTTTCCCTTAAACCAGTCTCCTGCAGGAGCTCTGTCTGCTCTTTATTGCTGTTGCTCCCAAGGACTTCTTTTTTTGCTCATTTTTGTTAAGGCCTTCATCCAGCAGACTGCCTTTCAGCCTTCCCTACTTGCTGCCTACTGCCTTATACAACCCTAGCCATCTACCTAGAAGTTGGAGAGGCTTCTCTGCTCTTTGGTTCATTTTCTCCCCACTGTCAGTAGTGACCTGTAAGGGGTACACAGGGATGCACATGCACCCCCTGAGAGCACCGCTGTACCCCCCGACTGGCCGTGCTTACCACTTAGGCGATGGGCAGGGGGGGCAGGCAGGAGCACTGGTCAGGGGGTGCACCAGTGCTGTCAGAGGGTACAGCCATCGGACACAGCGATTCCCTGTCTCATGATCAACTGCAGGGGATCCCCCCTCCCCCAGTTGCTGACTGGTCTCTGGGGGAGCACATGCCCCCTCCCCCCGACTAATGCGGCACCAGTCACCCATACCCACTATCCCAGCTGGTCTCATTTTGAGTCATCAGGTTTCAGCCCCATGACTCTGGGACTTACTCCCTTCACTTTAGGAAATGAGCTGAGCCTGAGTGAAGAGGTCAGCTTATCTCATGACAGATATCCAGAATCACTAGCCACTTCTGAAAATATTCACATGTGCCATCCAGGGCCTGTACTGCTCTCATCGATTTCAATGTCAACATGCCTTCTGAATTCAAAGGGAGCAGTGTTGGGCCTAAATCTGAAAAAATACAGGTGAAAGAAAGTATTGCATACACTCATGTATGATCGTGCAGTTAACAGACCTACAGTTTGGTGGGAGCGAATGGAAGACAAGGAGAACATCGCTTCATTCCCTTTTTTCCATTCATACTTAATGTACTAAAGAGTCATTTCCTTTTTCTGAGAGAACTTTTTTGTTTTGTTTCATGATATATTGAGCACAGAATACAATGTGCTCAATACAATACAAGATCCACATGCAGATCTTCTGGAGCGCACAATCGTTTTGGAAATGATTCCCAGGTGTTCTGTGTCTCTTTCATGCTCAGAGCTTATAAGATTAAGATGATATTAATGTACCAAAACTGTTTTGCTCAATTCCCTAAGAAGACATGAAAATGAAGTCATGAAACTAAGCTGTTTGGTATTTATCATGCACACTCTGGTTGTATTTCAGAGCTCTGGGATTTAAACAGGACATCAATCTTTCGTAGCCCATTTGGATATCTTGGTCTTCATGTAACGCTGCTGGATGAGTATCAAGAGCGACTGTTTGTGGGAGGAAGAGACCTTGTGTATTCCCTCAGCTTAGACCGAGTCAGCGAGAACTACAGAGAGGTGCAGTAACATAAGATATTATAAGTTGTATGGCATGGTGTTGTGTATGGCATATTTTTCTGGGACCTGGAAGGACTGGTGACTGGAAAAAAGATACTAACGTTTTTCACATTTGCGAGAGCACTGTCAGGTTAAAAATACACTTCTCTTTTGAAACTTTTCAGGAAGGGGAGTTTAGCTCCTGTTACTCCAAGTAAAACCCAGCATCATTCTGATGGAAAGATATGAGTCAATCGGTCTAAACTATGCCACTTACAGAAAACTGAGTAACTTAGATCAATTCTGCTGTGGGCTTTTTGAATGTCTGTACTTAGCCAGAGAGAGAGAATTTCTAAACTTAAAAAAAATTGTTTACTATGCTTTGTATAATGCTGAGTACCATATCCCTTATACAATCAAGAAGTAATTTCTCCCCATTGTTTGTATGGCCCTTTTGCACAGAAACAGCATGGGGAAAAAAATTACAAATAAACTCACAAGTGGGAATAGCAGTATGGAGCCTGGAACTACTTTTTGCTCATTGTTAGTGTAACCCTTCTGCTGAGCACCTGTCGGCAGCAACAAGGGCTGGATTCAATTTTAGGGGTACTAAATATATTTTACCTTGGCTTGCCCCCCTACCCAATGTACCTGGGAAACACCTAAATGAATCAATGGGGTGTCAATAAAACCAACAACCCTTCCCTTGCAAGCAGTGTAAACACAAACTCCAAATTTATTACAAGGAATAAAGAAAAAACAAAAGAAAGCACTAACTATAAAACAAGGTCTATAGGTGGTTTCTTCTTGGGGAGGCTTCACCCATACCCAGGCAGTCTGGGACTTGAGACTTCCCAAAGGGTAGTTCTGGGGGCCTGCATCCCTACACCTGCCCTTCAGCAATGGGCTGGAGAGAGGGACCCACTTTGGACAGTCCACTGAGGTGCTCCATGGATCCACTGTGCTGTAGGAAGCTGCTAGAGACTAGCAGCTAGTGGGTTCTTCTGCATTGCAAAGGCCCCCTTGTTGCTCCCTGAAAAGCTGTAACACTGATCTCCATTTTCACATGGTCACTTTGAGGGGTTAACTGCAGTTTTCATCCGCATATCACACCTCAAACTCTAGTCCTAATCCCAGCTCTGCGGGGGAAGGAAACTGCAAGAGAACTCAAGGAACTCAAAGAAAAGATAGGTTTATCTTGTGGGTGGAGAAGGCCTATCTTGACTTGGGCCTGAACTACAACTAGCGCACAACCACACCGCTTGGTTGGGGCATAAATTTGGGCCTGGACAAACAATAACAAGTGACCAAGCTTCCCCCTGGCCCAAATCTTCCATCTGAACCTATGACTAGGGTTCAGTCCCACAGGTGGACTGAAATGCAACAGCAGTGAAACAGCAAAAAGGGCCCAGGCTTATGGCTGCAACCTGGACATGGAGTCTCAGCTATACCACCATGCTGACACATCACAACCCCCAACACAGGGACCAGTGACTGCCAAGTCCCTATTTCCTGGTCAGTGCGCACTAGGAAAAAGTTTTCAACTAGCAATAATTGTGCCTGGGATTAACCTCATTGGCTATGATACTGCCACTCACTCATGGCATCATCCAACTCAAGGCTTGCATGGCCAAAACTGCAACAAGGCACATAGCTGAGTGCTGAACCCAAAAGAAACTGCAACAGCAACTAAAAAATGCCAGGCTCTCAGCCCTGGCCCAGAGTGTGCCAGCAAAATGGCCAGGCTCCAACCTTGGCTAGTTTTCTGTAGGGATTGATGCCCACCCCACCCACCCACAGCATCATCCCACTCAAAACCCAGACAAGTAAAAGGGGAAAGAAGGAGAGAACAGAGGTCTCAAGCCCTGAGACAGATTTTTTCTCCCTGTACCTGAGGCTTTCCCTTCTCTTCGTTTCAGTTTGCATCTCCAGTGAAGAGGGGGGCAGACAGTCTCCTCCTCCCCATGGGGATCAGGCTTTCTGGCTCCCATTTCAGCTGTCAGGTTTTAGCAGTCCCAAGAGAAAAGAAAAAGAGCACCAGCCCAGGTGGCCTGAGCCTTAAATAACTTTTCTGCCCTCATCACCTGGTCCTAACCAGAAGCAGGCATCATTTGAGCACTGCTAATGCAGACCAATCATTTCAGAGTTGGTCAGCACTCCCGGTGAAGTGGCCAATTACCAAACTGGTTGCACAGGTCACTTGGAGGGAATCTTAAGACAATGGCCTGGACACAACGAGTGGGATAGGAGGTGAGTCTCTCCAGTCCTAGAGGATGCAAAATATACAGCCATAAAATCAGAACACACTTTACCACACACAACCCTAAGTGTGTGTGTATGTGTTATATCAGTTTGACTAGATGTCAAATCACTGGGCATTTATACACACATACCTTTTTCTCTCACAATGTGCCCGAGATCTGCCGCTTCAGAGCAGATGTGATTAATTGAGTCTGTTCTGCATGCAAGTTGATATGCACTGTGCTGTGCCACATGCAGTGGTATAAGTGGTGAAATGTGCATCAGCACGCAGAAAATGGTGGTGGTGTGCTTTTGAATTAAAGCACCTCCAAAGTGTTTTAGTTCAAAAGCGTGCCGCTGCCATTTTCTCAGCGCTGACACTCATTTTGCCACTTATACAACTGCAGGAGTCGCAGCGCCGGGTGCTTTTCAAAGTGCTAACACTGCAGTGCTTGCACTTGTAAAAATGCCCACTGTTTAAAAAACAACCCAGATAAATAGTAATTAAAATTATCATTTGAAAGCTGTGGTCTGGATGAACAGAGATTTGATGGTTTATATCCCATTCTTACTGGAAAAAGTTGCACGTGACAACGAAAGCCCAGGTGATTGAAACACTGTCTGTCTAACCAGAAAGGCCTGAGTATGGTCAAGCATGAAGACTGTACTTCTTGCTGACCCCCTGCCTAAATTGAAAGGAAGTTGACAGGACAGTGTGAGGAGGCTTGCTGGACTACAGTCCATGCTGCATTCACCTGCTCTGTAGTTTCTTAGTTGGTAGGGTTGGAAAGGACCTGAGAAGATCATCAAGTCCGACCCTCTGCCATGGCAGGAAAGAGTACCGGGGGCAAACGACCCAGGCAAGGTGTTCATCCAGCCTCCTTTTAAAGACCCCCAGGGTAGGAGCCAGCACCACTTCTCTTGGAAGTTTGTTTCAGATCCTAGCCACCCTGACAGTGAAGTAGCACCTCCTGATATCCTTTTACTGGAATCATATTGTTTGAAAATAAATACATGAAACCTCATTAGAGAAATATCTGTAACTGATTTCTACAAGGTGCCATCCCTCAGGGGAAGAGAAGCTGATTCACATGCTCATGGAGGTGATGTAAGAATGTGTTTATAAATTGAATTAAATGTTGGGACTCCTAAGAATACAGTAACACATACAGCCTCAGGGCCTGGGCACACAAATAAGTGACCTCAAAGTAAATAAAGGCAGGGATTTACAGTGTATTGCAGAGTTGCCAAGTATGTGGGGGTCTGAGGGCCCTGGCCCCCTCAGGAAGAGGGCTGTCACCTGAAATGCATAAAATTTTCCATATGTCCATCATCTTAGGCCCCCTCTTCCTGGCAAAAATCAAAGTCAGTGCCTATGGTGTGTTGACTATTCTAGGCTAACTGTTTGTGTGCATGCTCTTACTCCATGGTAAGTGAATCCTAACCCATGATAGTCTAACTGTCAGTGAAAGAGCTAAAAAAGAGTAGCTGATGCATTGTAAATCTGTGCCCTTGTTTTTTTCACCTCATGGCAGCCTAGCCTTATAAACTCTTCATTATTTATCTGCTATTAGAAATGGGTAAATTCATATTCCATCTGATAGGAGTTGCTCCTGTAAAAAGGGAGGGATTAAAAAAAATGGTAAGGAAGTAGCTGGTTTTATAAAATAAACCCATTTTTCAGTTAACACTAAATTGGTAAAAGAATAAATGATCGCCTAGAATACATTATACTTCTGTTTGACTGCCTTTGTCCCATCTGGACATACTTTGCAAGTTTACTGCTCTCATTCTGCTGCCAAAAGAAGAAAGATATTTATGCTGATACTCCCCTCTGCCTTGGCACCTGCCTGCAGTATGTAACAAATTAGTAGCAGGTCTTTTTCTTCTTTTAATTAGGTGCACAAGATGAGAAACTGCAATTTAATAGAGTCTGACTGCATATGTTTAGAAACATGACCTCACCGGAGCTGAGCTCCTCTGAATGCAAATGTCATGGGTTCATTCACTTCTCCTGTTAAATATCCCAGTATTGGTCAGGGATTTTTCACTCAGAGGTAGATAGGACAAAACTGAGAGATGTCCACCACAGTTGGTCACTCAACTTCTCATATGAGCAAGCTGTAGAAGTATCAGTATGATCTTGACATATAAGAAATTTAGCGTAAAATCTGAGTGAGCTGGTTCACTTATTCCTACCCAAGGATTCAGCAAGCTATAACTAAGGATATATTAATGATCTATTTAGGTTTACTTCAACTTTCAGGTTGAAATCTTTTATTTAATCATATAAGAACTTAATTATAAATCCACAAGAAAAGAATGATCTCTCCCAACCTGAGACTTACAGGGAGGTGGGGAAGAGGAAGCATATTCTGTTCCTGCCTCTGGTAACCAGGACAAGTAACCAGAAGCAGCAGCGATTATTTTGTGAAGTTGGTAATTATGGGCCAGGTTTCATAAATAAGTCTGAATCTTTGGTGCCTTGAACAACCATTTCTGAGTGGTGCTGCAGTGTTGTCCAAGTCTTCACAGTGTGGAATATGAACAGGATTTTTATTAAGTTTGACCATGAAATTGAGATGTGGGGATTAACATCAGAAATTTAAAAAAACAAAACAAAAACTGTTCCACATCAGAAATACATCATACAACAAACCAATAATTCTTTAAAATATTCAGCTCTGATGCACATATTAGGAATCCCTCAGAGAAAAGCAGTAAAATACTGGATGGATATAAAGCACATTTTATTTTATGAGTCTTGTTGACTGCCAAAGTAATCCAACATATGTGAAATAACTTAATCAGTGGTAAACTTGAGGAACACATTCTATAAAACCTACATTTAGAGACTGTTTTTGTTCCACAAAGTTGAGTTTTTTCAACAAGTCAAATATCAAGCATTCTGCCCTGTGGCTTACAGTTTTCCTATATATATTATTGTTTATTTATGAATTTTGATTTCTAAACATCAAAAATGCATGCATTTGTTATCTTGTGCACCTTTTGTACCATTATACCTGTCGGAGTTAAAAACAGCCCAAGGTCTAGGAAGAAAGGCTAGTCTTATGATTCAGGTACAGGATTGGGACTTCAGGAGGTCTTGGTTCAACCCAAGCTGTGCCACAGACTTCTTGTGGAACCATGGCCAATTCATATATAACCACAATCTAATCCACCTCAGAGGCACTTAAGTTTTAGGCATCTAAATCACTGTAGACAATCCTAATACATTCTGTGCAACAGTCACCAAGCTGTTAGAATACCTAGGTTCCTTACATGTCTCTATTCTGACCTTCCGAGCATGGTCCAAAGTGGTCATCTACCTCCACTTATATTCTGTTGCAGTTCTAATTGACCCAGAAGTGTGTAAATTCTGTGCAAATAGCAAATTTTAGGCCATAGAAAAATCATGATTAGGAGTGTTCTGACTGAGGAAGAGGCAGCTGAGGCATCTTTTGGGCTAATAGCCTAATGGCTAGCATGCTTATCTGAAGATTTGGGGACCCCAGTTCTATACCAGTGGTCACCAAGCAGTGGATCTGAACCACGTGTAGATCTAAGAGCCTCTTGTGGTAGATCTCAGAGCCTCTTAGAGTTGATGCCAGGCTGGGGTGGGGGGCTGAGTGCCCATGTGCATGCACCCCAGCCCATCAGGTCAGTCTGTGGGGGAGGGAAGGAGTGTGGGCTAGATTGAGGCCCCCACAGTGAAGGATAGTGCTACAGAGGCAGGAGCAGGGGTAAGTTGAGTGGGTTCACCTCCACAGCAGGTAAGCACGTGGGACTTACCTGCTGTGGAGGTGCACCCCCAAATAATTTTTTTCTCCCTCTGCCTTGATCTCCCCCCCTCACTTCCCACCCCACAGACTTACCTGCTAGGGGGTGGTAAATGGAGGGTGGCAGCAGTGCACGGTAGATCTTGGTTTGCATTTAAATGCCAAAGGTGATCTCCTAGTTAAAAAGGTTGGAGACCACTGTTCTAGGCCGTCCTCAGACAGAGAAATTATGAAGTTGCATCTCCCTCTTCCAGCAAAGTGACCAAACTACCAGACCATGGGTTAGGAAGGTCTGAGAACACTTTCTACCACTTTGGTTCTTGCTGGACTACTAAGAAGCCAAGAGTCACAGGAGTAGGATACCACTCAAAGACTGTCACGCTGTGGCTCACTGAGGATGGCACCGGCCTGGGAAGCATGAAGGTTTAGGTCCTTGCCCCAGTCCTAGTGCTGTTTATGTATTTTAGCCAATGCCCATTTGATTCAAAATGCAGAAGCTGCATCAAGAACGAAAGCTTAGAGCTATTTATAAATGTCTTGGTTGTCTTGGTACTGCTTTTTTGCAGCTGGTTCTACATATTTTATGGTTTCACCAAAGCCTACAAGCCCTGTAATGATTCAGGAGTTCCTAGGAAAAGAAGCTTGTAGTTCTGCCCCTTCCACTTCTGAGGGAGGGTGAGTGATCAGCACCTCATTTTTGAGCAGTGCCTCCTTTTACATCCCATTCCTTTTGAGAGACACCTCTATGCACATTTCATCTTTGTAGAGAGGCCTCTAGGAAAAATTGAAATAAGGCACAATGAAGTATTAGAACAACCTGATAAAGGAAATAATGGATTCTCCATCTCTTGGTATCTTCCAGTGAAGGACTGGGTGCTCTTCAGGAAAATAAGTTTTAATAAAACAAACATTACGTTTTAATCCACCACAATTTATTGGGCTCCGTACAAGGATAATTGGGTGTAATTCAAATGTTCTGTCAAATTCAGGAGATCAGACTAGATGATCTAATAGTCTAATGGTCCTAAACTCTCTACATCTAAAGCTCATACTAATTCCCCAGACCAGCCTTCGTTAGACAAGTCATCTTTCATTTGGGGGTTACTGAATAAATGGGGAAGCTGTTTTGAGACATTAACTATGATTCCAGGTCTAATTAAAACATTTCCTCTGTCTGGATTTACTAAGAGTGGTTGTCATCAGTGTAGCCTTATAATCTGAAGTGTTTATTACTATGAAAATAATATTTTAATTTCACCTTTCCC